AGTTGGCCAACAGGCCGTTTGTCTTTATCTTTGTTGTGTACCAGTGAAGCGTGCAGGATGCGGTCAACCCACTACACAATATACATCAACGGTGATACCATTTGTTTCAGTAGCCAGGCCAATAAGCCGAGTGGTTCCTTGTGCTTGGATTCTGCATCAACATGTAAAGAGTGCTAAAAAGCGATTTATGCACATAACAGACACGCTGGCATTAGTTACCCTAGTTCTGCCTTCTTCTCTTCCCCCCGCCCTAGCTGTATGCTCTCTCTTGTTCTCTGTCCTGGCCATCTGGGCTTTGACCCTTGTTGCTCTTTGCTGCAAGCAGTTCCTCCTCAGGCTTCAACCCATCTGCCTCTATTCCCCGGTGAATAAAAGTGGTGCCAGTTCTAAACATGGTGATTTTCCAAACATGAATTAGGTCAAGACTATCTGTTTCCATAGCAAAAGGCCTTCTAAAGAATAACTAGTTTACCTTCGTTCCCCACCCACTCATGGCGCTACACTCTGGTGTCGAATGTCATAAATAAAGAGAAAGCCGATAATACTCTGATAGTTCCAACCCACCTCCCTCTCCTCCTTATTCCCAACCCCATGTGTGGGCTTTAATTTAGATTCAGGCTGTTTACCACACCCCAGTCCTGTTGAAGGATCTCTATTCATGACCTCTGGCAAACGGTTCTTACTCAAATTAAGCCTTGGATATCAGCCATCAGTTGTTTGGTTTATCAGAGAATTACTTGAATCAGCTAGTGATATGCCAAATCTGCTCACTTGTGAAAGCAAAGGGCTCGGTGTTCTTGGCAGGCTTTCCAGCACATAGGTCCTTCTCAGCATTTCTAACAGCACTCACACTAGCGAGCTGGCAAAAGGAGTGATCCCATCTTATGCTTATCCCACTCTTCATCCAAGGAGTTCAGAGAAGGTCACACACGGTTCTCCCCACCTCTGTCTTCCCTAACTACCCTGTGGAGTAGTTACTGTGGAGTAGTTAGGCTGCTAGCAGCTGTTCCAGAGTCACCCAATGGATTTTATGTCTGCCTGGGGATTTGAACTCATGGCTCAAGAGCTGTAGTCCAGTGCTCTTACAGAGTAGCAGCTCTCATGTAGGTGTACTTTAACCATCATCACTGCATGGGATCCAAAGCAAATGATACTCCTGTGCAGTGTTCCCTCTAAGCTGAGTTAGTGTGAGCTAGCTCACAGTTTTTTAGCCTCCGGCTCACACAGTTTCGCCCTAGCTCAGGACGGAGGGCTCCAGTGCCCACTAATTTACGCAGTAACCAAATCACTTGCTCACAACCTTAATGCCAGTCGCTCGCAAAGTAGAATTTTTGCTCACAAGACTCCACAGCTTAGAGGGAACATTGCTCCTGTGTCCTTACTGATTCATGCAAACAGTGTCATGTGCTAGAGCACCTTGCCACGAGAGGTGCAGCAATTTTCACCAGTCTGAGGCAACCCTTCTTTTTGAGCAGGGCCTGTGGGCGATTCCTTGACAACGTTGGCTTCCTTCATTTGTCACTCGGGGGTGCTGCACGGGGAGGTTCAAATGTTTGTATGATGTGAGGAGCCAGGTATGTAACAGTAGGATTCAGCCAGACACAAGCATCCACCGGTTTTAGCAGTACCAGCCTCCACTTTCTTCATTGGTATGAATTTCCTGGAAGCCCTTGATATCCAGCTGTGAGCCACTGCCTGATTTAAAACTCTGGAAAGAACTCCCTCAAAGCCGGAGCAAGGGCTTTGTGTGGTCCACTCTCATGGCCAGCAGGCTGGAATGGCGGGGTGCTTGATGCTCCGCTGCCCTCGTTAATCCTGCGGTTTCTGAGAAAATGCTTGCTCTTCCCAGAGCCTGCACAACTCAAGAAAGGCAACGGCTAGGTGGGAAAGAACAGCCTCTCCCCTTGTTGGAACCTTGGGACAGGGCTTCTTGGTTGGACCCAGCAAGTGGAATCAACACTCACTGCCAAAAGAGCACAGAAAGCAGCGGCTGATCCTCTGCTTATGGTCCAACCTGAATATTAAGGGCTAGCTTCTCCTCCATTAAAATAAAAGCTTGGCGTGGATATTAACCGATAGAGTTCTTAACACCAAGGCCAGAAGGATCAAATTTTTAAATCACAATTGTGGACTTTTTAAATCACAATTGTGGACAGCCCCTTTCAGCTCCCACCATATGGACAAAAACTTTCCTGCTGATGTTACGACCTGAAGCTGCCAGTTCCACTGGATTTTATCCTGAGGCTGCATGCAGACAGCCGCCTGTCAGACTTGGAGATGCTATTGAAGAGGTATTGTTCATGGCTCACGTTTATTTTTTGTGTTGTGTCATGGTCAACAATATGAGTGTTTTAAGGTTTCATAGCTTCAAGCTAGCCTTGGAAAGCTGACCCCCCTCCCCGGTGACTGGTTCTTACTGAAACAAGGCATGAATGCTTTTTATGTGACCATTACAAAGTCCTGTACTTGGTGGGTGACGCAATCCACCCCCTACTCATAGTCATTTTGGAACTATTTCTAGCCTTTTGAAAGAAATCCAATATACATGGAAGGACGAGTTCTTTTCATGCAGATGTTTGAAAAAGTGAAACACTTTCAGGCTAGCAAACCCCCCCAACCCCTTTCTCATAGGGATGAAATTGGCCAGAGCAGAAGCCACCTGGAATATGACCTGGTAAGATTTACAAGTTGACTGACACTGGGCGGGACTAAAAGATGTGGCTGTAATTTGGAAAACACTTCTGGCTCCTAGAGATCCCCTTCCTTCCCTCCCTCCTCCCATTACGTTTGTGGAAGTATCAAGCAACCTACATAGAGCCATCCTAGTCATGCTAAGGGAGAAATTGTTCCCATTGGCTCTACATACATAATCATTTACAGAGAGCCTAGTCTCAGGCCTGTACCTATGGTGGGGGCTATTTGGGACAGCCCCACAGGATTTCCCCCTGAAACCCCTTTTAAAAGACATTTTAAAACATTGGTCCCTTTATTGTCCTTGCTGGTGCCTTCCCTTCTCTTCCATACCATGAAAGGAAGCAAAAATATCTTCCCTTGAGTATAATACAAGGGGGGGGGGGAATCTGAGGAAGAAGCAAAATTGACTGTCAAAATTGTCAGGTGGACTGGTGGTGGTGATAGTGTCATATCTGCTCAAGGCAGAAAAAAAATTCTCCTGTTCACTGAGAACTTCAGCCCCACCAGAATTTTTTTTGCCCCGGAAGCCACAAAATCCTGGCTACGAGCCTGGTCTTACTTAACTGGAAGAAGAGAGCCAGTGTGGGGTACTGACTGAACAACGACCTGTTTTCAAATTCCCCCCTCAGTCATGGAGCTCACTGGTGACCTTGGGACAGTCACCTTCTCACAGCCCAACTTCACAGGGTCCCTGCTAGGACTAAAGAAGGGGATAACCCTGCATACGACACCGAGCTCCATGAAGGGAAGATAGTATAAAAATGCAATAGAGATTAAATAAAGCATCAGTAGATTAAAATAATAAGATCTGATGACAAGTAATGATTATAGTTGGTTAGCAAAAGGATAGAGAAAATATGCAATGTATGGAGGTATAACCAAATTGTTAAATCAATGTGATGCACTGAGAGAAAAATTGCTGTTTGTGTGTATGTGTGTTTGTCCCTTATGCATAAAAACCCAATAAAGATATTATATAAAAAAAAGATTAAATAAAGCATCAGTGGAATGCTAATAGTTCATCTAAAGCAAAATACATTAAACACAAGAAGCTCAGATCACCTTGGAACAAATGAGTCTTGCATGAGCTTTTTTTCCCTTTTTCTTTTTCCATCAAGGGGTCAGTGGTACGCCTTCTTCACCTTCTACTCAGAACTAAGGGACACTGTACTTGTGTGTGGGACACTGCTATGGCTATCCTTTCCCCCCAGTGGAATATTGTGCTGAGGAGAAACAAGAAAGTCAGAGAGCCCCCTTGGCCACCTTTTATTAGGCTCCCTGCTTCTCCTGACCATATTCTTGGTGGCTGGAAGGATGCCTGAACTGGCTGAGATCAGCCTGAGGAGGAGGGAGATGATGCTCAGTCTGGCAACGGCTCCCCTGCCTTTCTGAGCCAGCCCCCTTCTTCATTAGTTCCAATACAGTCTTCTTCCAGACTTTGAGCCAGCAGGACAGCTTTGCTGGAATTCAGTCCGTTGGCACTTTAGAGATCACAGCAGCCCTTGTCAGGCAGCAAAGAACATGGTGGCGCATTCAGCGCTCTGTGCGTAAAGAGCGATGCTGCCACCTAGTGTTCGCTATCTAAAAAGCTTAAATAGCTCACAGGAATAACTTTCTAGTATGAAAACAGCCAATGGCAACTCTACTGTTCTGTCTTTGCCTTGTCCTGCTTCCATAATCCTGCTTTAATTCTGTTTAAAAATTACAGCTTGACTTCCAAGTAGCCGCATTCACAGCAGGTCACTAGGAATATATTTGCAAAGCAGTTACCCGAGATCTTGGTAAAACTAGAGTTAAAATAATAAGTCTGTTCCTCAGTGGGAAACTTTGATATGTACCCCAACAACAAAAATTAAAAACCCACCTGCTTGTTTTACTACTGTTGGGCTGAGTGTTTAGTTAGATAGCACAAGCTGGATTTCTACATCTTTGTGAGCTGGCTTAGGCTCAGGAACCCAAGGCAGGACTGCACGTTTTCCATAAGCAGTCAAAACCCTTTCAGCCTGCAGGTGCACAGAGTACTTTCACTATGCTATGAGACATTTAGAACAAGATGGGTAGCCACGTTAGTCTGTCGGTAGCAGCAGAAAAGAGCAAGAGTCCAGCACTACCTTACAGTAACAAAAATATGTGGCAGGGTATGCGCTTTCGTGGGCCACTGCTCCCTTCTTCAGAAATACAGCCTGCAGAATTTGTTTAGGGGGCGTTTGTTTAATTCTTTTTAAAATGCCTGATATATCTGAAAGCAGAATAAATAAGCCTAAATCAAGCAATCACCACCACAGTGACATTAGCCATAGAAGCAAACACACTCACAGAAGTAGATGTAGCTCTATTTATTAACATCACATACATTGCAAGTTGGGCTGAAGAGGCAGCTCTGCTATCTGAGCCAAAGTGGTTATCAATACAGGCTCATTCTGCAGGAGTCCGAAGGCAGTGGAAAGGTGCCGGGTCCCTGGAGAAAGCACCAAGGCCACTGCCAGTGTAGATAGAGGCAATGGAAAGGTTGGTGGCTGAGACTGGGCAGGAAGACACCCCCCCTTCCTGAAGCACTGGGGTCAAGATGCAATGTTGGCTAAGGGCTGGAAGAATGCCCTTGTAGAATAAAATAAAAGGACAGGCAGAAAAGAGAGCCAGCGGAGCCTGAGTCAATGTAGGTTTTGCCTTTACAAATCCTGTTTTGCTATAAGCTTGTCAGCATGCTGATCTGTATGATGACTTCTAGTATATAGTGCCCAGAAAAAAAACGTTTCCCATCCCAAGTAGATGCTGCATTCAGAAACCTGAGCAAGGCTGTGTACATCCACCAGTTCCACAATTTGGCTCTTAAAATGGAGAACGGGTATTCTTTTGGCAATTCTTTTCTGTTAAAAACTTGACTCATCTTCCTATTCTGTGAGTACAGGAGCCATTTTGGAAGAAAAGGCAGCAGCGGGGTGGACAAATACATCTTGCAGCCGTGGTGGTGGGGCTCAGAGCAGTATACACCTCTGCATCCTGCCATCAGAATGACTGTTCTCAGCTGACCAAGAGCCATGATATGCTACATAAATCTTCCATCCATATTTCTCACAGTCATGGCTTAAGGCTTGCGTACAAGCCTGTCTCAACCTTGGCAGCCAAACACTACACCAGGCAAATTCACATTCTCTTTTTTGTGTGTGCATGATTTATTCTGAGCACAGAAATCTGGACCTCCCTTTGGCACAAGATTAGAGAGCGGCGACTCTGTCTCTCATAATACACAGGCAACCAAATGTGTGCCCCCCCCCCAACATCCTCATTCTGAGCAAAGGGACAACTGGAATTTATGCCTTTGCTGACGGGTGGCTCCTGCACTCACCTTCCAGTGGCCTTTAAGGGCAGAGATTGCATTCCATAGAAGAGCAACATCAAAGACTGCTTTGAGGTTAACCCTGAAAGAAGCAACAACCTGGAAGAACATTCCTCAGGAGAAAGCCACTCCTGTAGCACCTGACTATAGTGCAAGGTGGGAGGACTTGGAAGCTGCTGAACTGTGAATTCTAGCAAAGACCCTGTCAGACCGATGGGAGGAGGAGAAGTGCAGCATGAAATGCTCTGTGAGGGCTTAGCATGAAGAGGAGACCTGGGTGGAACACACGCCACCATTTAAATATATTGCTCCATTCAAAAATCTCTGGAATAGAAAAGCTTGATGCAGGGAGAGGAGAGAGCCAGTCAGAGGCAGAGCTGGGAGCAGAACCCCAAAAGGAAGGGACTGTAGCCTCTGAACAGGCTCATGTGTATTATGTGTCTTTAGAGAAGGAGTTTGAGAAAGAGATCGAGATTTCCTGGGGCTCAGTCCCACTGGATAAAAGAGGGACTAAAATCTGAGTAGATCTGTTTAGGATTGCTCCTTATGCGTACTACATACAGCCACGGAGACACTTTGGGGCTCCTGTTTGAAGGCTTTTGCAGCTCTGTGTCTTTTTAGCCCCACCAACTGCTTGTGGAAGTTAACATGAAATGGAGACCGGGCAGTTTAGGAACCAGCAGACACTGCCCCAATAACTTTGCTTCCTGTCCAATTTCAAAAAGCTACAATTATTGTTAATGGTGCAAACACTGTCAGGAGGACGCCTAAGTTACCACGGCATTCTTTTTCTCTCCTCCTAACATGGCCACTGTTGCTGAAATGTTCTCCCTACCTGTCCTCATGATGGTTTTTGGCCACCTTATCCTAGCAACTGACACAACTGGGCTTGACTCAAGAAGAAGGCAGACACTTTGAATTGTTGCTACAGAGAGCTCACTAGCACCACCTAGCAAATTTTGGTGGCCTTAAGCAGGCAACCCAGAAGAGGAGGGACGACCTCAGTTGCTTCCATGCAGAGTGAGAATGGGAACAGTATCGGGGACCTGGAAAATATATGGCCATACTACCCCTCCTGGCTGTTCTATCACTTCAGAATGCACATCAAGAGGTATAGTGGGGATGCAGCTCCCCATCTGATCTGCTATAGCGTTTACGTACTAGAAAAATAGCAAAGCAGTGCTGGCTGCAATGCCCATCAGAGGTTTTCCTGCAGGATCCAGATCAGAAGCAGTGGACAGGGAGGAGGAAAAGAAAGCAACACAGCTTACCCCCGCTGCTTTAAGGTAGGAGCCCTCCCAAAAAGTGCAACTACACTAAAGCCTGCATGCAGTGACACCCCCCCCCCCAAGTATGCATCTGTGCCCATCTCACGTCTTTGCTCAGTTCACAAGCCACACTCCCAGCAGGAAACCGCTGCCTCTCTCTGCCCGGCTCCCTAAAAGAACTCTAGTTCCTGAACAGGTGGGAGCAGGGGAGCTTCATCCCGGGGTACCGATATGTTTGCAGTCAAGAGGAAAGGAAGCAATCTCCGGGCTCAGCAATAGGTGGGTTGGGGGGGGGGCAGAATGATGGGTCATTCTGTGTCGGTCAGCCTGATGTGAGGGAGGCACTTGGGGCAGCCCAGTCCAACGGGGTCTTCACAGCTAGCCCCATCTCTGCTTTAGCCGCACATTGTGAACATCAGCCACTGTGAACAAAACAAGGAGGGATTGTAAAAGACTTGCTGAGGATTCAAACGCAGCAGAGAAGTGGTTCATAAACCCTGCCTCCAGTTTGCTTGAACAGCAGTGTGGCAATTTATTAACCACTGTGGCAGAACCTTGTGAAGTTATCAGAGCACACCTATCTTACTTTTACTTCTTAAAAAACAAGGTTTTTCATTTCTTCTTCCAGTACAGCAATGCTCCCAAGGCCCATCAGTTTTTCATCCTCCTTTTAAACTAATTAAAGAATGCCAGTTAAAAAATTAAATTGCCAGCTGCCAAAAAATGTACAGGAGCAGTGAGTCATCAGGAAGCTGGAGACCACCCCGCCCCCGCCCTTTGAGCGCCACTGCATGTGGATCCAGGTGTACGGAAACCTTTCCAGGAGATCTGCCACTTGGGACAGTCTCATCAAGCTTCTCCTGACTAAAGGCAACTCCATCCCTTTTCTCACACCAGCTGTCTTCTAATCCAAACAGAAACATGCCATCACTTTCTTACCTCGCCAAGATTCATCTCAGCAACCCCAGTGCCTTCAGGATCCATACTCTGGAAGAATCCTGCAGAGTTTGAAGGGAAAACACACACACAAAAATGGCACATGTAATTAAGAACAGTATTTCCAGTGAAGGCTCCTCAAAGACAGTTCCCTTCTCACAGTTCTTCTTTGGGGGACATTACTCAGTTTGCAGTCTATTAACCATGATGGATTCTTTCTTGACATGAGGGGTGGGTGGCCAGTAAGCTATAAACTGGATAAAGCTTATATCTCAGGACTGGAGGGTGGCAGGGCAGACCTGGGAGATCTCTAAAGGGTAACCCTTCAAAACCTGGGGTAGCTCTTCTCTTTTGAATCTGATTTTCTCTGTTATTAAGACAAACTCTGTTCCTTCTACATCTAAAATTAATCCTGCCTTATAAGGGAAATCCCACACCAGTTGAGGGGGGGGGGGAATCTGGTACTAAGACTATGCACATCAGTGCTATAAATACCAGGGACCATGAAAGAGGCCTCTCCAAGGTAATCCCTTTCAACCCAGAGTCCGTTTCCTGGTCAGGAAATACCATCACACCTCAAAAGCTAAACAGAGTCAAACCCCACCCTTTGGCAGGAGACCTTTTAATGCAGTCTGTAGATGCCCTCCTCTCGCAACCCAAACTGATGTGAGCGCTACAAGAGGGAAGTGGCAGCTTTCAGACGGAACACTCAAGAGGCCGACAGGTCCGAGCAACAACTCTGCTTCCCCCTCCTGCTTTAGGGCCAGTTCACCCATCCGGCTGAATCGCCAGCTATCCAGTCCCCATCTTATCCATCTCAGTACAGTAGTCTCTCTGGAACAGCTGAGGACTGTGTGAAGTGGCCGTCACGTAACAGCGGCTACCCTTGTGAGGAAAGTGCAGGTAGGATGTGCCTGCCTGCCTGAAGGCACTTTGCTACACTCTGTCGGATTCACTTAGGGGGCTGCCTCTTCAGGCCAAGCCACAGCGGCACTTACTGAACATCGTCTCCAGTTTGACTAAACAGCAGACAAAGTTATCGAAGTCCACACCCAGCGACTCATCAGCGTAACGGGCCACCAACACCTGGTGCAGCTTGTTGTCCAATTTGAAGCCTGAGAGACAGAGAAAGAAACGGGTCACCAGTCTATCCTGAAAGCTAGACTGCAGAAGTAGGGGTCCCGAGAGCCACCCCTACACAAGCCCACTGTGCCTCGAAGAGAGGAATCAGAAACTCAGCTTGGGGAGTCCCTGACAATTGAGGTACAGGGCCACCAGATGTGCTTTCTCTGGCAGGCTCTTTACCATACAGGCTGCTGACCGTCCCATTTGGATTTCAAAACGGTTTACATCTCAAGATTCTTAATGCATTTCTACCAACCACATGACTACAGGTTCCAAGAGTGCCCTACGGAGGGGCACTGAGACCAAGTATTTAAAGGCACTCAAATCCTGCTTTCGCAAAGCCAGTCTGAGAGACAGGATTACTGGACAGGCTCAGCCTTCAGTTTCTGATGACAGGACTTCATCCTGATCATAGCCTCCTCCCCTGATGACAAGACAGCTGTTAATTCAGAAGACCCAACCACTAATGTTCCAGTCACTTCAGCAATAAGGACTCCCAGCATCCCACCATCACCAAAGTGCCCTGTTTTGCTGGCCTCCCCCCTCCAGTCTTACCAGTTGATTCCAGAGCCAGACGCATCTCATAGGAACTCATCGTGCCCGACTTGTCTATGTCATGCTCGCGAAAGACATTCTGCATATTGACAGAGAAAGGAGACTGGTGAGGTGCCACTTCCTTTCTCCACATTATTTAGCCACTCCCAGTCTTCTTCCTCCCCATGAGTTTTATGAGCCAAGAATGCCCCTCTTACCAGCCAGCTCCTGATCTTGTTCCACAAAATCTGAAACTCCACAATGCCCAGGCGAGCGCTGCCATCTTTCTGAAGAGCAGAAGAGTCAAGGAGAGATTTCCACCACCACCCTCGAAAAATAAGACTTGGAGAGAAGGTGGTGAATAGATGAGGAATGCTGGTGCTCTGGCTCAAAGCCCACCCACGGTAACCCAGACAGCACTTTGATTTACCAGGGATGCCCCCATCCACACGGACAAAGCATAGTCAGATGGTGCTGCATACTTGGGATTGGGCCCAAACTTACTTCTCCATCAGTGGAATGAACTTTCCTGCCTACCCCTCCCACTACAGTTCACTGATTGTTAAGAAATCCTGTTCTTGAGCGATCAGGGATCCTAAGGAATGACATGAGGGGGGAGGACCGTAGCAAGAAGGGGGAATCGGTGGAGACTGCTAATTTAGTTTGGACCCAGCCCTTATTAAAGGTCCCCCATCTGCCACCTTGGAAATGGCTGCACTTTGGTGTTGCTCTGTACAACTGAGAAAAGCACTCTGGAGTCATGCTGGCTTAAGAACTGTTTCAACAGCCTCTCTGTAGGTGTGCGTGTGTGTGTGGGGGGGGGGGAGACACCAAAAACTATTATGTACTTTTCTGGGCTTGTTTACAAGACCACTTGGCACAGTGCTGTCAAGATCACAACACCTGGCATTCAACTCAGGGTCTGATTCCATTCCCTGTACATAGCTTCCTGCTTCCAAAGGATCCAGATGGACCTCTCCTACAGCATCAGTGGTTCTCTGGAAACTTGAATTGGGGGTAGGCAGCATATCTGGATTATTGGCTCTTCTGTACCCTTCTTGTTGTCGTTCCCTTGGGTCTACATTGCTGTACCCATAATTTGTGGATCTCTGTACTCATAACGTGTACTCATAACTCTTGCTGTGCCCAGTATTGTCATAACTCCTGCTTTTCCCAGTATTGTCACAAACTGCCCTGCAGTATTGTCACAAACTGCCCTGCAAAACTACTGACTGAAAGTGTGTACGTTTGTCTGACAATAAGATGGGTGTTTCAGCCAAGTTTAAAGTTGCATGTTTTGTGTGCATGTAACTTGTCTATACAATAAGCAAAGGCAGAGCCCTAGAACCTAGGTGGAGGACACTGCCCAACCACCTCAGAAAGCTCTCTCATCACAAGCCTACAGTGCACTCAAGCTGGGGAAAGGTGACTTGCAGTGCCCTCTGCTGGAAATCCTACCCCCTGAGCATATCTATGACCCTCCCATTCTTTAACTAGGAAACCCTCCCCATTTCTCTGCCACTCCTCCACTGAAAAGAGGATACGTCCATCAAGTTAACCATGCTGCGGCAGGAATCCATACTGAACCCGTCTGTCTTCAGGTCTTTGTCTGAGAGAAGAAGGAAAGAGAGGCATAGTTATTTCAGAAAACACACCCAAGCTAGCACATGAATGAGGTAGGTGGAGAGAAAAATGCAGACGCTGCCCCCCCCCCACCGTGGGGTGAAAAGCTGAAGAAGCCCTTACGCCTGGTAACAACTCTGTTGAGGATAGTCCGGAGCTCAAACACGCTGATTTCCATGTCCTGGAAGGAAGGGAGAGGAGAGTTTTAATTACTTATCTGTTCATAGCAAAAGGCATCGGTCCACGTACTCCATGGGATACAGGATGAATAAGGAGCTCCTGAGTATTTATGACACAGAAACCCAAATGTTTGCTAAAAGACCTCCATCGTGTGTAACGCAGCTTTCAGTGAACAGTAATCTGATTGCAGGGAATGTCTAAGGATATCTTCAGGAACCGCTAATGTTAAGGGATGATTCTGGGGAAGGACAATAAACCTGTGAGACAGGTTAAGCAGAGAGAAGGTACTCTCGGGAGAAATCTTCAAACAAGCTTCCTGGTCAAAGTCTACTACTCCATTCACTACATCACTCTTGCTCTAATGGCCAACTCCTCACTGACTCTTGCTCACTTTCACAGTCTCAGAGCCATCGGCTGCTCTTTTACCTACTCAGCATACTCAACTGTTGCCACCACAGGGAAGGAGGGAGGGAAATTCACAGAAATGTGCAGTCGCAGCACTTACCTCTCCTGCAAGCTGCCGGAACATGTTCCGGAAGTTTTCATCCACATCATCCTCAGAAACTTCTTCCTGAGGAGACACAAACCAGAAGCAGCAGGTTAAATGATGCATTTCAGACTATATAACTTTCTGAGTTTCAAAAACTTGGACCAAAAGCAGTTCGTTACTCTCCTGTCATTAATAACCACTGAATTACCTATCCTTCCTTTTGTCCAGCAGCTGGTTTCCTCCTCCCCTCAGTTCTGTCCACACCTGTATCTTTCATCCCAGTCCACTTTAACCAGTAAAGCTTTTCTGAACCATTGTTCCTTAGAATTTAGAGGGAAAGGAGGCAAATTTGTGGCCAAGGGAACCAGGAAGAGAGCCATTGTAAGACCGCTATCAATCTAGCTCTGTACTGACTGGCAACAATTCACCAGGTTTCCAAGCAAAGAACAATCTTTCCCAGCACCTAATGCAGAGCCTTTAACTGGCAATGCCAGGGACTGAACCTGGCAAAACGTGTATTCAACCATTCAGTCACGGCCACTTTCATTCCTAAGGACATACTCTTAGGACATGGACCACCCGGACACTAGTTTCTTTAAAATATCTGCACACAGATGTCTTAATAAATGCAGCATAGCAGAAAAGTGCAACCCTTTAGTAACATTCCTCCTGGGTTTTGTTTGGAGCCCTTACCTCATCTGGCAAATCTGCTGAGATCTCCTCATCCAGCTCCCTAAAGAAGCAAAGCACACTGTAAGCAAAGACTCTTAATACAGGAAAAACTTTTAGAAAAGGGAAGAGGGTTTAGCAGAGATGTGCTTTGCTGTCACATACAGAAGCTTGCCAAAGTGTCAGCAAAACATGTAAAGTCACTACAGGGATGATAGCACTGAGTGGCTCAACTAAGTCACAAGCCTCCAGCATCAAAAGCCTGAATTAGTTTCCCCATCTCTTAGCATAGATATCTTCTGGAATTATTCTAACCACCCCAATGGATGCAGGAAGAAGCGCACTTCATGGTAGATTGTTTGATAGATCCTGGTAGATGTTTGGATTGGTTAGTGGCAAAAGGAAACATGGTGGCTAGACTCCATAAAAGTTGATACCAGCCTGAGCATGGAATGACTCAAAGAAACACTACAAGATCAGAAAACATGGAGAGAACCGGCCCATAGAATCGCCAAGAGTCGGACACGACTGAATGGCTAACAACAACAACATTTACCATAATACTGGTACAGTGGACGGACTTACTGTGTGTCTGACTGCTTCTCAGTGAAGACCCGCAGGACAAAATCTGCTTCTTTGTTGGGTTCAAACGTAGAGGGCACTATGATGTACTCGCCAGGTGGCAGGCGGATGTGGTTGCTCACCTCCCGCAGGTTGATAAAGGTCTCTGAGCGTGCCTGAGACTGGTTCCTCAGGAAGAAATCCTTCTTCAAGTGGACACTCTGGCAGCCCTGGAACTGGGAGACAAACAGACCAAGTGTACTATACAACTGTGCAGATGGACAGGACTCCACATGATGAGGCCTGAAGTGTACAAAAACATTCACTCAAAGAACAGAGAAGTAAAGCTCAAACAAGAAGGGCAGGTCCCTGGAATAAAAAATGCTTCTTTGACTGTCTATGACACAGTTGCAGACAGGCATCTTCTTACAAAAATACACACACAGAGACATGCATCTCTCCCACCAAAATCACAAACCTGAACCCTGAAAACAGAAATATGAAAAATAAGGAGATGTGTACATTTTCTCGTTTTGTACAAATTATTTGAGTCAAACAGGGCAGGTATCTTTGGTGAAACATTTGGGCTTTTCTCTGACTTCCTTTGCACCCAAGAGATCTGGATATGTACTGGAACTCTATTTACACTCAAAGCAAGAGGAAAGCACAATTTCAGGACTCCTTCCAGAATGAGAAATGTTTTTGGCTCAACCTCTTCAAGTCAGCTTGGAGATTTCCATCTCCATACAAAAGTCAGTAATAATTTTTCATGACTCAGGACATACCTCTTCGGGAACCTGTGACGAGAGAGAGAAAAGAAAGAAAATATTAGGAATTAATTCCTGGTTAAACTGTGTTGCTCAGAAGACCACCAGGAGACCTCATGGGATTACCTCGTAGACGGCAAAGCCAATGGTGTGCATATCTCCTCCAACTTGGCGCTCTTTTCGCCGGTGTTTTTGCATCAAGGCCACTAAGAAGGTGCAGGCTAGCTCATCATCACCTGGGTCATCATCCTCTTCCAAGAGCTTGATTTTGAACTGTGGATTAACCCAGAATGTGGCTGCAGGGAGAAAAAGAGACTAAGGTGATGCATGGTGCTCCTCAATCTCAGGTCACACAAGCAGGCGCTTTGTTTCTACAATGGTCCAGGTATCTGAAATGGAACCTCAGCAGGCTGCAGATACAATCTGATGTCACATTCACACAGACAGAAAGATGCAACACTGAGTTCTGCACTAGCAATTCACCACCAAGACAGACCAGAGATTGGACGCGGCACAGAGGACCGGAATTACCTGGATGGTTCCTGCAGCCCCCAGCTGTACTGCCCCGGCGCCAGCTGCCCTCAAACAGAGTGGTGTGCCATTTGCTCAGGTCATCCTTAGTCAGAGCATCTGGAGAGAGGTTACAGATCTCCAGCCTAGAGAACTCCCGCATGAAGTCTCGGAAAGACATCCTGCGGGGACAGAAGCAGCAGTGAGGCTGGAGAGAGACATGGTCAGCTGAATGTCACTGTGCGACTGCTCAGAGAACTTTCAAGCCAAGAGAAAATACTCACCCCCACTGCTATTATTTAACCACCCCATGAGATGGGAACTCAAGTGGCAACGAATTGGCATTGAGTACTCCTGACTATACCCCCCCAGAGTCAGAGTAGATTCACCATTAAGGCCACCAGGAAAAGTCTCGGGGGGGGGGGATGGGAGCACCAGCCCAGCTTCAGGCAAGAGACTCTTCTGATCCAGGCGCATGTGAGATGAGTTTGAGCTACTGCCAATGCAAGACCGTTAGGCACCTACTCGTGGCCTTTGCTTTCACAACTGCTCCTCCTCCTTCCTTCCCTCCCTCCATATGGGGTGAGCCCTCTTTCCAGGGCCATTCTGGCTTCCCAGTTTGCCCCTCCACAGCATTAACAACCAGCAGGTCACAGTCAGGATACGAGCATGTGCACTGAGAATGAATGGTGGCGTGTACCTCAGAGCCCCTGGAAAAGACAATCATGCTCGGGAAAGGCTGAAGGCAGCAGGAAAAGAGAAGACCCAACATGAGATGGGTTGACTCAATCAAGGAAGCCACGAGGGCCCTCGGTTTGCAAGACCTGAGAATGACTGCTAACGATGGGAAGTTTTTGGAGAACGTTATTTCACTGGGTTGCCATAAGTCGGAAGTGACTTGATGGCCCTTAACACACACACGCCTCAGAAGTCGCCACTCATTCACTCACCAAAATTCACCGTCCTCCATTTTTAGCTGAAGGTCCTCCCTCTGATCGGGGTCCACTTCATTCGACTCGGACGAGCTTTTCGGAAGAGCTAAGGTGGAAGCACAGCAGCAGTGAGACAAGACAACACAGGACCCAGTTATATTTCAGTCCCCCCCCACACACATGCTGCTTTTCAGATTTTGTTCTGGAACATCACCTCTAAAGAAATGCAAAGTGCCAGGTCACAAAGGTATGTACATCTCTTGATGATTCATAGCTGAATATGTGGACTGATTCCACTGATAAATGATGCGTCAGAACTTGTGTATCAATTCAACCTGTGAATGCTCATTCACACACACAAATACCAGCTTTATCCAGAGATAAACACACACACGAACCCAAGACCCTTACCGGATGAGATCCCTCTCAGCTGTGGTAGATCGGCCCATTATAATACTACTACAATGCCATAACAAACCCACCTGTCGCTCCAAGCTCCGGTCCACTCCACCTGTCCCCAGGGATTCCTTATGCGGATGAGCTGTTCCTGGCGGCCACGATACTCCACCTGTCAAAGAGCAGCAGTTAGATGGCCTGCAGACCTCAAAAACCCACCCACCCCCACGTCTTCTCACCCCATCAAGAGAAACTCACATCCCTAAATCCTGTGACTGAATAAGCATGACCCTTGACTAGCTTCTTGAAGGTAACTGCTTCCATGTCAAATGCACTTGTGATCTGAGGACAGAGGACACACAGCATTAGTGAACAGGCTTACGGCTCTCTTTCATCATAATCAACCTTCCGTTACAGATTTCTTGGCTCTCAGAGAAGGGAAAATAGTGTACGGGACAATTCAAATGGCTGCCAAGAACAGACTAGCAACAGCCCACAGCTTTGCCAAAACTAATGGGGTATTCCCATAAGGAAATTAGGAAAGGGCTCCAAACCCAACAGAAAGGCTCGGAAGGAAACAATAGCTTTGATAACACCCAGCTCTCAATGCCTCTCGCTTCCCAACACACACAATTAAAAGGGAGATAGGGAGGGGAAAAAACAATATTTGGGCACCAGGTTTGGGACATTCTTCTCCCTGGCAATCTGAAACCATAAACTCCCCTCTTGTTTACAGCATCAGACACTGGAAACAACCTCCAGTGTCATATGTCACCTACTTACATTTTACAAATGCCCATATGGAAACAGACAAGAAATGGTTACACAACTAGTAACATTAACTGAAAGACAACCTGAGATATGTTTTGAAAAACCTTGCAACACATGATCTGTCAAAGTGGGGGAGTTAGTATGCTACCTGATTTTTTGGCAGATAGCTATTTCCCCCAATACTTTTCTTATTTCTGTAAGCTCTGCTTGAATATGAAATGGAATCAGCACTGCATTTTCTTGAATCAGAAAGGTCTGTAGTGTGCATTTCCACACCAGTCAAAAAATAAAATATTGTTTACCATGAAAAACAGAATGCCACAGCCTAACCCTTTTTGCCTCACATCTTCAGTTAATCCTTGAGTGTGTTCTACTGCTATGCCTTGGCCTTCCTCCACGGACTGAATCTCATACCAGACTAGCAAAATCAGACCCAAACAAGGGGAGCCACTCTAGATCTGAAGCATTTCAAACATTACCCCTCCTCTGGGACCCTCCTTACATCAATGGAGCAGCCAAGCAGGGATCCTCTCTCAAGAGCCTTGCAAATGACCTTGGACAGGTTGCCAGGGGGCCGCTTGAGGTCGTACATTTCTGCCACACCACCCGTGAAGTCCTCAAAGCCCTCAGTGGTGCTGCCCCCAGACAGGGCCTCATAAGAACCATTCAACCTGTGCATAAGACAAAACTGAAGGTTAGTAGGGTATCTTTAAACCCTACCCGCTGAATACCAGGAGGTCAATCTCAGGGAGAGGGAGGAAGTGAATTAAAGGAGAGCAGAAACAAAGCCATAACAGGGCCTGCTTGCTAAAGAAAATGTGTGAATGATGGGGGGGGGGCACCTCTTAGTCCCCTACATAATCCCCACCAAGACAGCACTCACTTGGCATAGGCCTTTTCCAGCAGAGCACTCCAGAACTCTTGACATTCTGCAGAGTGCACAAATACCAGCTCTCCATCCTTGGTTGGTAGCCGATCATCTACCACCACATCCACCCATTCGCCAAACTGCCAGATCTGGTGAAAAGTAATGGGAGGAACAATGAGGTGTGGCTAAGCTGTGATGATGGGGCAGGTTAAAACAGGAGAAAGAGAGAGAGAGAGAAGGGGGAAACATTTGAATATAGCACGCATCCCTTGAACCCAAGATTATCTTTATTTGGTTTTAGACTTGGCATAGCTTAGTGTCCCACCTGCCAAGAGAAAGGAGGTTGATTTCAAATCACTGTGGAGAACCTCTTCATGTGAGTGATGAGCCACCTTCCCCTTGGCCTTACCTGGAAGTGAAAGATTCCAGCATAGTTCTCCTGAAAGCTCTGTCCATGAGGTACAACACGGTGCAAGAGCTCCTCATTAAGAGTCAGGGAGCCAATAGCAGCCAGCAACCAGCAGTCACCTGAAGGGGCAAGGAAGTTACTCCCCATTAGATTTGGGTTGTTATATCCACATTTCCAAGCTAGGCTTCTACGGAAATACATCCTCCATCCCCGAATTTCCCCCAATATTTCAACTGTGACTGCAGTCTGTCCTTGAGCAGGAACCCAGCTGGAAAATAGCACCTGGCTTCAAGTAAAGCTAGCCTGTCCTAATTAAACATTGTTTAGGATAAGTTCTGAGTGTAGGAAAAGGGAATGTGTGTTTTCACCTTTTGGTTGTACCCTAGTTCAGCCTGGATGTTTGAACAGGCCATGTGCATTCTTTTCATTCATTTATCAAACTTTCTTATATTTTTTAATGTTCTAAACCTATTTGGTCCCGATATCTGAAGAGCTCAGTAGGAGAAGAAACTGAAAAAAGGGAAGATAATCAAGAAACAGGGATATCATGATAAAACCTGGTGGTACTAGAAGAAAAGAACCCAGGGGATAGGCAGTCCCATAGTCACCAAACCCAAACTCTAAATTGATTTATTTTTACTTTAAATTTATGGATCGCCCAATCCCTGAATACACAAGGCTCTGGGGCGATGTACAACAGGAGTTAAAAATAGCAAACGTAACATTATTAAAATGAATACAGAAGTCATTCTTTCCATTCTTAATATGATCTCCAGATGGCTTCACTGATTTGAACTTAAGCCCGTTCTGGACTGTGTTGCCGCCTCATGGGCAGGGTAAGGAGGGGGCAGAAATGAAAAAGATGGAAGAAAAGGGGAGGGTGCCAGCCATGAGGGAAACCATTGCTGCCCCCAACCAAAAGCCTGGTGGAACATCTCTGCCTTACAGGCTCTGCGGAATTGCATTAAGTCCCACAAGGCCCTGGTGGTGTTTGGCAGAGAGTTCCGCCAAGTCGGAGCCAGGACCGAAAAAGCCCTGGCTCTGGTAGAGGACAGCTAGATAATGCTGCTTCTGCCTGGGCACTACCCTGAAGATCCTCATATTCACGGGGCTTTCATTCATTTCAAAGCTCTTGTGGAAAACAGATGATCCACGGGGACAATTTTGCTCAGTCAGGGTAGTACACCTGGATTTGCAACTCTTAAAAAGTGACAAAGATCTTCCGTGGGTTATATGCTGCTTGACTGAAAAGGGAGGTGGGGATTTTTGTTGTTGTTCAGTCGCACAGTCGAGTCCGACTCTTCGCGACCCCATGGACAAGATCTCGCTAGGCCTTCCTGTCTTCCGCCGTCCTCTGAAGTTTGCTCAATTTCATGTTTGTTGCATCTATGACACTGTCTAACCATCTCATCCTTTGCCGTCCCCGTCTTCTTTGACCTTCAATCTTTCCCAGCATCAGGGTCTTCTCCAGTGAGTGCTCCCTTCTCATTTGGTGGCCAAAGTATTTGAGCTTCAGCTTCATTATCTGGCCTTCCAGGGAACAGTCAGGGTTGATTTCTTTTAGGATTGACTGATTTGATCTTCTTGCAGTCCAAGGGACTCTCAAGAGTGGATACTTAACATTATTATTTCCCCTAAACCAAGCCACCCCTGCAATGCTACTGGGGGTGGGGAGGGGAGAATGACGAGTATATTTTTTCCCCATAGCTTCAGGAGCATGATTTAGATTAAGTAAACCATGTTGGAGGGTAAAATATGTACTGCTTTCCTAATTAGATTAGCAGCCCCACCCAGGTGCTTTATACTAAAAATAAATAAAATCATTGATGTCTCATGTCTAGTTTGTGCTTGAGACTGTAAACTGGGAAGGTTTTTTTTTACCACAGTTACGAGCTTATTAGGTGACAATTTTCAGCCTCATCTTCATCTTCCTTCTTGTAATGTGGAAATAGCAATTCTGATTTACTGTATGTGAAGAACTTTTTGAACTCATATAGCACAGGGAACATAAGGAGAAACAAAATTCTGATTTCAACTGGGTATACAAGGTTTTAGGCTCACACAATCATAACAGAGGAAAATCTGACATGTCCTCTTTTCTCCATCACCCAAACCATCATCAGTCCAGTCTCCTGGCTCATGTTCCAGAGAACAAGCCTTCATTTGCAGTTGCTCCAATTTGAGACTTCTGTGAGTTCCTGTCTCCTGCAATTCACAAGGGACCTCTGCCAATGGACATGCTGACCGTTGCAGTATGTACAGAATAGCTCATCAGGCATATGTGGAACAGCAACGGTGTTGCAAACACAGCAGTGAAAGCACCAAATATCTCTGCCAGTTAGTGCCTTTTTCATGAATGCCTCTCCTCCCCACTTCCTTCTCCCACCACTATACTCCGCCTTCCCTCGTGGTTCAAAGCAGCTTACAGTAACAGTTTTTTAAAATTTCCAGTGAAAACCAGAATAAAATAACAAACCCTGTGTATGAAGTGAGAGGAGAAAGTAATGTACTCAGAAGACACTGAGAGTGAGTCATAGACACAGATTATAAGGTTCTGGGAGTCTGTTAGTTGGGTCATTTGGGCTTCTGTTTGAAAACTGTCCTAGTTCAACTGAAACCTTTGGAATTTTAGGCAGCCACAGTATTGCCTGTTGGATTTGGCCCTGGACACACAAAGGAATTCACAGGAATGGATAGCAAGGTTTGGGATTACCTGGAAATATTTGTATTTTACTGTGAGGATCATCTATGAGACTACCAAGCAACCCCATTCTATTTCATTTTTATTTATTCTATCCAGTTTACTCCCCGACTCAGAACAAACACACATTACTCACCTAATGCTCCTTGGCAGATATCTGTCCTTGTAGCACCTCCAACAATAAACTGAGGATCACCCACGATTTCCTGCAGTGGGGATAAAAGATTACTATTGGTGCTGATGCTCAGCATCTTCACAAAGGTGTACTGGGAACACAAAAACATACCCTGGTTGCCTGAGTATTAAATGTGTCACTGATCCATTTTTTTCTTGCTTAAACTTGGGATTATTCTCTGCTATATTTCTCTTCTATATATATCTGTCTTGAGTCTTCTCCAGTGATTGCTATCTTTCCTTAGCTGAGGGAATGGCCGAAGTATTTCAGAGGGCTTCTTCTTCTGCTACTTAAAAAAAAAAAATCCAACCCCCCCAATCTCTGAATTATTGCAATTTTATTTGTGTTTATGTTAACGTCTGTGGGAGATCTGGATACAATATGCAGATTATGTGTTTAGGACCTCTCTTCAGGCTGCCAAATGTGAAAGGGCTGATTAAACCTAAAAAAATTGATTCATATTAACACCCCCCCCCCAAAAAAAAGCTAAGGATCAAAATTTAACACTCATGGCATAAGTAGCCAAGATAGGGCACATGTACATTAGAGCATCTCTTGCTTTTTATTTTTGGTGCTTCAATGCCACACTGAACGGTGCGCATTGTGCTCCAGATCAACACTTGCTGTAAATCATTTGGTAAACCTCATGCCAAACGCAGCCAAGAACTACTTGAAAAGCCATAATGGGCTCAGGGATGTAATAGCTCATTCTCTTCGTTTGCACACAAATATTTGTTAAATTATTTATACAAGTTAAAAGCCATAATGATAAAACTACCAATATTTAAACATCAACAGAAATTTAGCACAAATAATAAAACCGAATAGATTAAAAACACGGGGAAATATTGATAAATACCAAAGCTCACCAAGGGCTCCATGAACTCTCCTTAAAAAGCTCAACTTTAATCTAACGGCAAATCTTAAGAAAAGAGGCAAGACAAATCTCCCTAAGAAGGGAGTTTATCATAGTCTTGGCACTACCATTTAGAATACCCTTCTCTTTTGTGGCTGCCCACTGAGCCTCAAATGGGTGTGGGCACCTAGGTAAGGACCAAAGAGGAAGATCTCAGCAAGTGGATAGGTTCAGATGGAAAGAAGTGGTCCCTTAAAAGCATCCTGGGCCCAGGTCTACTTAGGGGCTTTGACTGTTAAAACCAGTGCTTAAACAGAGCCTGGAAACAAATTTGCAGCCAATGATTGGCATAGTAAATCCACCTGGCTAGAACCAGTTATCATTTATAGCAGTCCCAGATAGCCATGTGGGTGCAAAGAAAAATCCCAAAACAAAATCCATGCAACAAAACCAACCAAAATGATACAGAACAGTTTCCAGACACTTTGCAAATGCAGCTCCACAAAGAGCATGTTACAGTAGTCTAGATGTAATAAAGGGCCATAATTCCCTCTGTGCTAGGGGGCACTGGCACACAAAATTTTAACAGGCAGTGCAGGGATTTCTGTTTCAGCCCACAAGGCATTTTCCCCCTTCAATGACCCCCTGGTCCATTTTTTAAAAAAAACTTGGGGGGGGGGGGGGTTGAGGAGAGGCACCAGCAGCTATGAGTTGGAGCAGTTTGGGAGGAGGGACCCTACTCCCGACCTTCGGCGGGGCGCCATTGGTGCCAGCACCGGAGGTTATGAGTTTGGGAATGCTTCTGGATTCCTCCTTAAAAATGGAGGCCCAGGTGGCACCCACTGCCAGGTTGGCCTTTTATCATCTTCGGCTGATCAGGCAGTTAGTTCCCTTCCTCAACTGCTACGACCTAGCTATGGTGATCCATGCGACAGTCACCTCGAGACTAGACTACTGTAACGCTCTCTACATGGGGCTGCCCCTGTTGCAAATTTGGAAGCTGCAGCTAGTGCAGAATGCCGCGGCCAGGCTTTTGATGGGCCTTCCCAGATGGGAGCACATCCAGCCTGTGCTGAAGGCGCTGCATTGGCTGCCAATAGCATACCGAATTCACTTCAAGGTGCTGGTGCTTACCTTTAAGAAGCCCTATATGGCCAGGGTCCGACATACCTTTCCCTATATATACCCCAGAGAGCACTGAGGTCGGGGTCCCAGAACTGACAGGCTTGCCACCACTAGGGCCAGGGCTTTCTCGGTGGCAGCTCCATACAGGTGGAACGAACTCCTGGAGATCAGGGCCCTGTGAGATCTTGTGCAGTTCCGCAGGGCCTGCAAGACAGAGCTCTTCCACCAGGCTTTCAACTAGGAGCTGCCCCCACTACTACCAACGAGCTGGCCCATAGTTTTAACATCTGGCCTCCACAACTGTGCTCAGGAAGACCATTGAGTGGCAAACTGTTTGGTTGTATGGTATTTCGAGCTTGCCATCTTATGTACCCAATGTATCAGCACTAGCACTTAATGAGTTTATGTTTTACTGTATTTGAAATTTTAAACTGGTTTTATGTGAATTAATGGTCATTATAGACCAATTACGTAAGCCGCCCTCAGCCTGCTCGCAGGGAGGGCAGGGTATAAATTAAATAAGCAAATAAATAAATATGCTGCAAATTTGGTGCCTCTACCTAAAAAAACAATAGCCCCCCCCAGAACCCCAAATACCCCCATATTGATTATCGATTATAGCCTATGGGGCCCATTGACTATACTGGTCCCCATAGGTTACAATGAAGCCGGGAAAAATTAATTTCTTTTTTTTTTTTGCACACCCCTATCATGCTTTTCAGTATGATTTGGAAGCTGCCTTGTGTCACAGGGAAAATTGGGATATAAATATTTGAATAAATAAGTAGTTTGGGCAGGTTGATACCATTTAAGCAACTTCCTGTTTGTTAGGTTAGGCAGGGTTCTGACAGTGATTGTTCCACCTCTTTTATACTTGACCTGTAATGCTGGTTGTCATATTTCACTAAAAAACCAAAGTAGACTGCAAGCCCCCCCCCCCAAGTGCTGGTATGTTTTCTAAGGCTCAGCACAAGGCAACGGTCCGAGGCCAGGTCTACCAATATAGTGGAAAGGTGTGGGTAAAATTTTACTTGATTCTGTTTTCTCTTACAATGTTTAAATTATTGTTAAAATATAGATTAAATGTAATTTAAAATAATTTATTATGGGATTTTTACAAGGTTATGGAAGTAATCTTCTAAAAAACTAATTTACGCAATAGTCAAATGTAGACTTGCTCAGAACTTTAATGCTACTAGCTTTTTTTGCTCAAAAGGGAGAATTTCTGCTCACAACACTGTGGAGCTTAGAGGGAGCATTGATCAAGGCATGAATTACTTTGGGTAATTCTTCTCTAGGAAATGACGATAAATTAGCCTAAACTGATTATGACAATGCTCCCAGCCACCACCACCATATGTACATCCAGGTATAGGGAGCTCAAGTCTTAAAGGAGATCACACAGACAGGAAAAACGTATTACAAGAAGCAGTCCTTAATTTCCACTTTAAGCTCAATGTAATTTTGGTCCTTTTTGTCATAAAAATCAGTGCTTGCACCACTAATAGCATCCAGCAGAGGGAAGAAACTATAAACCTTTTCAAGTATATAAACAGAACTTCCGTGAGAAAAGAACAGGAAAGAATTAAGCACTGGGGACAAAGGATGGATATTTTCTATCCCCACAAAGGCCTTGCTACAACCGAATACATTACAAGGACCAATGGGGGAGAACTGGCCCAAAGCAAAGATACATGAGGTATTTAGTACAAGGCCGAGTACACTGTAGCCTGGACCAGAAGAGAGGCAGCTCGGGAGAGGCATACATGCCATGCCCGTGACTCAGCAAGGCCTGTCTAGAAAGTCATAACCATTAGGAAATTAGCAAGACATGATCATTCACCTAAATAACCATGGCAACAAGTCACAACAGCTATACAGTTATTGTTGCATGTTTTCCATTCTCAGAATGCAACAGAATCCGGGGAAGCCCTGGAAGGTGAGGAGGTATCCAGTGTAGTTACAAGTAGTTTGGCTACAGATATGCAAGTTGAGTAGATATGCTGACACAGGAACAAGCTCAAAGGCAAACATCGCTCTGCAATCCAAAAAGTCTTGATCCCTTCTAAAAGCCTCTTCACTATTCTCACAAAAGTCATGTTTTCCCAGCATACAGCCTTGTAACCCAGCAGTACCAGCTCCTTCTCACAAACGGGGAATGACAGGCAATGGCTCAGCTGAGTTCACTACAGCAAGATAAAAAGTGTTGCTATCTACTTACATCTCCCAAGGCACAGGGCATACACCTGTCTTAACCAGTCCAAAGTATGGGGGGGTCATGAACTTGGTTTAGTAGTACAGGATGTTTCTAGGACGCTAGAGGGTTCTGTCGTGCAGAAAGTGGCTCGCATCTTTACCCTGCACTTTGGGCATGGCATCCTTTCACAAGCTCAGATAGGAATTTGGCTAGATTCAACTGTCCACTGAGATTTCCTCTAGAGAGCAAACTGAGGCTCCAGTACAAAAGAGGCATTAATTAGAAGATAGAAAGTGATATGCTAGCATCTGGTAAGAGGCTTTCAATGAAAGCTGCGAATAGGAGCTATTACAAGAAAGAATAATTAACCAGAGTGGCCTTCTAAGGGCTCCCACAAGCAGAGGGCCAGATACTCACTGATGGGCGCATCCAGCGCACTCCACGGGTTTTGCCAGAACTGGGTCCCAGTTCCTTGAAGCCAAGAACTGAGGGAACGGCAGGAAATTGGGGGTCTTCAAATAAAGTGCCATTTTCCAGGCACTCCTGCTTCAGAGACTCATAATCCTGACCAAGGTATTTAACGGCATTGTGGTGGTCACCCACGCCTTCTGCCCGCAGACGGTTCCTCTCCAGTGTGGCAGCAATCCCTCCAAAAGTAATCATGGTATGGCCAGCTGGACACTGGCAACAGAAGCCTCAGCAGTTCTCCTGGAATCAGAAATAAACACAGTGTGAAAAAATGGCCCACAGATTGCCTAGAACAGAGAAGGGAAATAAAAGTACCTAGCACATATTTATACTGCCCTTCCTCCAAGGAGTGGAGGACAGACTCCATGGTTCATTTTATCCTTATAACAACCCCAGAAGGTAGATTACGATAGGGGAGAGAGTGGCCCAAGATCCCTCAGTGAGCTTCAATGCAGCATAGGGATTTGTAGCCTTGTCTCCCGAGTCCTAATCTTGCACTACACTGACTCTCCTGGGTGGCACTCTTTGAGGACATCAGCCCAACGGTAGGCCAGAACGAAGATGCAGAGACAGAGATTTGCACGAGGAACCACCCAAACGCAGAAGGATGGCTTGACTTGGCCTGAGAGTCTGTTAGCCCCATCAGTTATTTGGTACGAACACTGACAGAACACATTACTATTTATTGCCTGATCAGGCAGTGAATCAGAGGCTGAAGCAAGCTGAAGGGGGGGGGGGGCGACACTGTAGTCCTTGGCAAGATAGTCATGAACATTTCTTGATTCACCTTACTTTCGACTTAGAATGAATGAGCCTATTAACAGGCTGTGGGGTGATCCTTTATGTACAGTGTGGCTTAACACAACTGAGAAATCCACTGACTTCTAAATGATCCAGAACAGTGGCTAACGCATTCTATAAACTTTTGTTTATTCAGGCATGGATTTGTAGCCCCAGACCCTGGCTAGCCTCGCTCTTCCCCAAAGCACTGCACTCCCACTAAAGTTCAGCATTCTGACCCCAGACACTGTGAGCCACAAAACAAACAAATGAACAACCACAACAACAAAAACACACCTCCTCTCAGACTTTTACTAGCCTTCCCTCTATTCTCAAGGGAGCCACAACAGTATCTGCACTGAACCAAAAGCCTTTTAAGGATAATCAGAACAATTAGAAAACAGAATTGCTGTCTCTGCAGAAGTTTGCTGAGCAGCTTGTCTCCATATTCTACCTAAAAGGCACACAGGCACCATGCATCCCATGCAGTCGGGGATGACTAGATCTGGCTTCAAAAGCAATTTTGTCCAGTTCCTTGTGGCCATACCAAATTTGAATTAAGGTGTGCATGTACCTACTTGTATGATATGTAACATTATATCTTAATTTCTTTGGCCCCCCGGAGGGGATTCTTTAATTGCATTTTTATAAAGACTACAAACTACAACAGAAATAGGGAAGGGGACTACATTAAGGGATAAAGAAAAGATACCCACTACTATCTAAAAACCCAAGAGAGGAGATCATCTAGTTAGCTTGGCACACGTTATCTCTCAATCACGCTAATCCCATTATGAACTGATTCAACTATAGTATTATCTTTTGCATATCTTAACTATCACTGTTAACCCGAAAGACCCCTAAGCATCTAGTATATGTTTTTCAAAGGCACAATTCAAAGTTTTTCAGCCTTCATTTCCCCTTGCCCAGTCTCTTCCGCAGTTTATAAGGACTTTTAGGGGTGGCTGCCCCTTTCTCTGATAGAGAGTCCTCTCCGGAAGACCCCGAGTCCAGCTCGCCACTGGACTTACTGTCCGTCCCTTCTTTTTCTTCCTCCTCTGGCTCTCCCATCTGGACTCTAAAAATTTCCGTGCTTTCTGAACAGAGTCAATCTTTTCCTTTTTATCCTTGATTTTAAAGATCATGCCTTCTGGTGTTAGCCATCTGTATCCAATTGCGTTTGTCTGGAGAAAAAGAATTAAATCTTTGTACTTCTTTCTCCTTTGTCTTATTTCAAATGGAATGTCTTTTAGGATTCTGATAGCATTATCTCCAACTTTCAAAGGAGTTCCAGATGCCGCTTTCAAGATTGCATCCCTTACACATCTCTTCGAGAATCTTATCATGATTGTTTTTCTTTATATATCCTGAATATGACCTATAGGGCACATCCATATCGCTCAGCAAAGATTCTGCCTTCATCTCTGTCATTGGGACCAATAATTCACTCACCTTCTCCTTCAGATTCTCTCCTTTAGTCTCTGGAAGGCCCTGAAAGCGAAGAATCAAATTAGCTTTTTCCATTTGTAGTTGTAACAGCTGATCTTCCGTGGAGATTTGCTTCTTTTCCAGCTTTTGTACTTTCTTCTTCACCTTTTGTGCAGTGGCGTCCACTTCTTTCACCTTCTCAGCTGTTTGATTCATCATTTTAAGTGTCTCACTCAATTGTGTTTGCTGGGTGATGATACATTGATTCATTGTTGACAGCTACTGCTTGAGATTATTCATCTGGTCCAACAGAGGGCGCATGGATTCCGCCAATGTCTTTGCCAGTTCGCTGGTTGCTTCCGGTTTTGGGCTCTCAGTCCCTTTCGCTTTTAAATGTTTCTCTTTCTCCGTCCTCTTCCCCGCCATCTTTGTGGATTGTTTACTTTAACCGATATTTTTAAAAGTCTCTGAGTATGTGCTTGTACGCTCGAACTCGCCTTGGTCAGTCTTTCTTAACAGTTTTATTCGCTTTTTCTTCCGCTCCCCCCCCCTCCAATTCGCTTTTAAGTACATGCGTTTGGGAGGCATCCCTCCCCCACTCGCCTCACTTTCTGTTCCGTGGGGGGTTTGGGGAGCTTTCTTTTCCTTTTATTTAAATGCTTAGATTGAACTCCCATTAATAGTTGGTCCTCAGACCTCGTTTAAGCTCTGTTTCTTTCACTCGAACTCCTGCGCTTGCCCCAGTCAGCGATGCTTAGTTCCATTCGGTCTCATAGCACGAAGAACCTTCGGGATGGAGAGGCGCCTCAATTCCCCGGCATCGCACCGGCGAAGAGGCAACCCCTCAAAAGTCCCATGGCCAGAGCCCCTTCAGCCAGGTCTCGGGGGGGGGTGACGATCCTGCACACACCCTCCTTCGGCCAGAGTGCAGCCTCACCCCCAGGAGGTGCGACTGCTCAGCGCACCGCCATAAACCAGAAGCCAGTAACATTATATCTTGATTGTATGAATGCCACAGCAGAGAGCACCTACCACTCAATATTAAGGACAAGGAAGAACAGCTGAACAGGAATAAGGAAAAAAGTTACACATACAAATCTATAATATGAAAGAGTTTGTCTGGGGTCTTTTTCATGACAAGGTCTTTTCATGATAAGGAACCTACTGAAAATCCATCGACCTAGGTGAATAAGCCTGGCTACATCAAGATTTGAACCTGAGAATCTCTGTATTGGATTTGAATTTCACGTGCACCTGCATCCAACAGATGCATGATATAGGCAGAAACTCAACAGGTAAAGGTTTCCCACTAAAACTGTTATTTGTTGGATTCCTGGTGGAAAGAGAAAGGCTTGGCTGCACAGTTTGGCTATTCCTGCCCCAAATGGCTGCTTTCACCAGTACTGTAGAGGTGGGGAGAGAGTAACAAGGAAAGGGAAGAGACGGAGCAGCCCAGCTGCTGCACACTTGCAGAAAAGACCCAATGGCTGGTAAAGAGGCTCCAGTAAATACATTGCCTTCTTCCTCTTAGCTCCAGGAAGAGAATGCCTGTTGCTGAGTTCAGCCTGCAGGAGAGACTACAAACAGTTGCCCTTAAGCTGGGGAAAACCCCCCACCAAATTTGAAGTACTCTCTAGACTCCTGATAACAATGCACCTGTAGTATAAGACACAAGGTAAGAAGAATGTGCCACTGAAAAGAATTTTACATGGCTCTCCTTGGGGTTCCCGTGTATGCATGTTGAGTGTTTATCAAAATTTCTTCCCAAGGATTTGTTTTCTACCCTTTTCACCAGGAGTTTAGTGTGGCAGCAAACAGCCCTGTGAAGCAGATTAAGTTGAGATACAGTAATTCTGCTGATGGTTTACACGGCAAGTGTTGTAGCTGAGCAGGGATCAGCAGTTGGGTTCGGCAACCAACTTAGACAATGAACCATACTGGCTGGCTGTTTGAACAGTACTGTAAATAGCCGTCGTGGTCCGGGTTCATCCTCAGCTGAATGAATGCCAAATCAAAACATTCTGGATATTCCACAAAATGGCTTCCAACTCAGCACAGCTGCGGGTGACAGACAGAGCCTGCAGGTTCACTGAGAAGCCTCATTCTTGGCAGCAGCACAGCTCATTTAGCAGGATAAAAGCTCTTGGGAAAGGACTATCAGACAGATAAATCAGAAAAGGGTTGAACTAGACGAGAAACTGAGAGATCTGTCATCATCAGATCCTCCCAACATTTACAAAATGCAAACAGAAGCTGCATGAGGACCATATTCGGATGGGACCACATGGGAAGCAGGAAAGAAACCCCAGCGTGATTTCACACACGGAATCCAGCACTCCCGGGCACTTAGTAGTCACAAAGGAAAGAGACAGCATGACCACCTTTTTTCTTTGAGGGTTAACAGCATGGGGAAGCTGGCTTCAATTGGTAAAAGTGCTCCAATGGGTGGCGGAAAGTGCCGTCAAGTCACAGCCGGACCTATGGCAACCCCATGAGGGTTTTCAAGGCAAGAGACAAGGCAAGGTGGTTGTGTCATAATCCTGTTATTCCTTGGTGGTCTCTTGTCCAAATACTGACCAGGGCCAGCCCAGCTTAGCTTCCAAGATCTGACGGGATCAGGCTAGCCTGGGCTATCCAAGTCTGGGCAGCATATGTGTATTAAACCCACTCTTATTCCTTGTGTAGCTCTAATTTGGATCAGGCCCCCATGTCCAAAAACAATGACAGATTAAGAAGCTTCTCATCTGTCTACACTTTATAAAAACAAACATTCTTTAGCCAAATTCTGCAATAGGTAAACATGCAACTTGCATGGTATAAAATGCTATTTATTAAATGTACCATAGTTACTCCATCCTGATTGCAAGATTTGATGTTTCTTTGCTTTGGAAAGAGTGTGAGAGAAGTAGGGGGAGAGGGGAAGAAGCAAGGATGGTGGTAGGGGAATGGGATAGCCATCTCGCAAGTTTCTTGTGGGTCCCCACTTGTTTTATAAAGTATTGTAATTAGTAATTGAAGCATTTTACATGTAA